TTTTGTTCGGAGAAGCTTCAATTGCTCAGAACCATGTGTCAGTAACAGGAAAATGTTTCTGTAAAATCACCCTGAACAGACTGTCTTCTGATGTTTCTCTCAAGAGCAGTGGTGATAATCCTTGGTTGGAATTAAACACTGATGTCAGAAGAAGGACACGCATGTTATTAGGAGAGAGCTCTGGTACCCGTGTTGTCAGTAAACATTTAATGGAGAGAAGGATAGAGACTCTTTGTATTAATCAACTTACACCAAATCTTCCCACTGTGTTTGAGGCTCGTTAATTTAAAAGGTGTCAAGTTTTTAACAAGACACACTTACTTGGCCTTCATCTGCAAAGCACACAAGATGTCAAGGATTTATTTTTTTATAAAATATAACTCTGTGTAGGAGCTCCATATTATATTCCTTTAGAGAGTTGATCTGTAATGTGATGGAACAACTTTGAAGCTCTTAGCTGCACTGGTGGATGCTGGGGACTTTCAGAGCGTTGCAGGATTGAGTCATTTGTGGCATTTGTTTTAATAATACACTTAGCTTGACATTTTCAGCATTGCAAACATCAGTCCAAACACTAGGCTTTTGAAGTAGTCAAATACTTTTATTTGTGTTTACAAACTGGAAACCTACAGCAGTGATGCTGTGATATGCCCAAGTCTAGAGAGTATGTCAGTGATATCACCAAGTTAGCTTGCCCTGATTTTGTATCTCCTCTCCTCCCACTTTTCCCCGTGCCCTTCCTGGCTGTCCCCACCACGTCCTTCGAGTTAGGCAGTGATGTGGAGGTGTTACAAGAGAAATGTGTTCCCTTTGCTAGGGAAAGCTGACTGCTTCTTGAGTTCTCTTACGGTATTGCAGAAAGACTGGAATTGTTCCTGTGGATTTGGTGGATTTCTGGAGGAGGGTTGTTTTTCTTCTTAGTAATGGAGGGGGGGGAGGGGGAAGAGGAGGTGAGTCTGGATGTATATGTATTTATCCTGTCTAGGAAACGTTTTCTTCTATAAATAAGGTTGGCTAATGTTCCCTGACCTTCTTTTATACTTAGTGACAGTGACATTCCCATTGGTTCCTCTTTCATGTGATGTTTTCAGACATCTATTTCTATTTTTATCAATCAGGGAGTAGCTTCTAGGCTTATGACTTTCAGCTGAGAATAACTCATGCTACCCCCTGTGTTTGCTTTGATACAAGAGACTGTTTGCTATAATCACTCTGTTTTATCACGGGTTTATTGTTGTGACGAACAGATGAGCCAACTATGCAGTAGATTTGTTAGTTAATGTTTAATGGTCATAGTCTATCTTCAGATTTTCTTGCTTGTGCCATTGTTTCCCCCCTTCAGTTTAACCAGGAAGAATACTTGCCTCCAAGATTTCAAATGTAGTAATTTGTACGGAAAAGGACACGGTAACAGGCATATCTAGCAATATAAGCTGTCTAATTAAATTTTACTTGCTTTTTCCAAATCAATGTCTCTTATTTTAATAAGTGGAATTAATTGTTGAAATCAGGCCCTCCTTGCACAATTTGACTGGCTTTTGTATCTGACCTGTTACTCTCTATTATTTCTGCTGCTTCTAGAGATCATGTAGTTGTGCTGATTGGTGAGTACCAATGAATTCCCAGTCTGAAGAGGTGATAATGTTAAGTAGATAAGGGAGACAAAAGATGTGAAGAAGGCAAAAATACCAAAAACTGAGGCAGCAGTCTTCTGCTGCCCTAACACATGCATCTAAAAGTTGTATATTTACGTTAGTGTTGATCACAGTAAACTCCCATTATCTTCAGTGGAATCAAATAGGCAGGTGCCTAAGAAACTGTCAGTCACCAAATCCTACAGTGTGAACTAGGGACCACTGACTGAAGCTAGCAGGTCAGTTCCATAAAGATTTTAGAAATAATAGTAATAAAAGCACCTTTTACAGCCATGAACAGTACACGTATTGCCACAGGAAGCTGTGGAGATGGACAGGATGAAGAAGTTCGGAAAGAGATTAGATAAATTTCTGGGTAAACAGACATTAAATAGAGATCTGCCCTCCAATGTCTTTGAAGATCTGATTGCTGGGAAAGTACGGGGGGGAAAAGACTACTGGTAGCGGCTAGGCTTATGCACTTTCCCCAAGGATTGAAGGACCTGGTAGGGCTTTTCTTAAATTCTTGTAAATCTTAATCTGCCGTTGGAGGCACCTGTCTCCCCATGCTGACTCTAAAATGAGCCAAGGGTGAGGTGACTGGTTTGGTCTTTGAAGTATAACTTTTTCAGGAGTATTTTGAAGTTAGGCATATTAATCTAACCCCAAGAGTCTAGGTGATTTTCCAAGGGGCACGAAAGCATCAGTAGGGGTAATGTCCTAAACTGTTACTAAAATCCAGTTTTTCATGGTATCTAGGCCAATCTCTACCGTGTCATCCTTTCTGTCATCTAATTGAGTAAAAGAAGTTACTCATTACTGCAGCTCTGGTAGATCTTCTTCTCTCCCTGATTTGCCTATGAGACATCCTGCTTTAGGTAAAGCACTTGTAAAAGTCCGTCAGATGAGTGATATGTGTCCATTTCAGATGTACAACGACTGTAGCTTAGTTGCTGATATTTGTTCACCTTGAGGCATGGAGGTCCTGTTGCAGATGAGGAGACTTGGGTACTCTTCTGAGCATAAAATATTTGTAAATTTATAAAAGTGCAAGTCACATTATGCAGCCTTTGTCTTTTTTTTAAAAAAAGAAGTTGAATTGCAAATGATCTGAGTAGACTGTGATATGATTCAGTACAATAATTCTTTTTTATCTATTGTAAAAATTAAATTTGATATTCACTGCTTAAGCCATTTTTAAACTCTTGGGTTTTGTTTGTTTGTTTGTTTGTTTGTTTGTTTGTTTGTTTTTTAGGTCCATCTTTCCTATCCATCCGTCTTTCAGAATAGTGGTTTTAGCAGAACCTCCTGTCATTGGAAGCAGTACCCAACAATGGCTGGGTCCAGAGTTTCTGACATTGTTTCTTTTTCATAATGTTCGATCTTTAAGCAAGAGTGAAGAAATTGAAGTTATTAAGAAAATGGTAAGTATGTTCAGTATTTTAGGTACTTATTGACTATTGCTTACTGAACATGATTATTTACTACATAAAAAATAATTTGCTATTTCAGTGTAGCATAAATGAGTCTTCATTTTCAAAGCTTATCAAAGCGGCAGATCTGCTTATCTTTTAATGGTATTCATAAAAATTAGCATTCTTCTTGTGCGATTAAATGGTGCTGTAATAGAAAAATGCTCTTTGTCAAGACTGTATTCCCTTTTGACAAAAAGCAACTGCAGCAGCTGTATGCTCATTGCATCTGGGTGTAGCTGCTGTGTATGGAACTTGCATATCTTGACGTAAGATTAATACTGTTTTTCTTTCAAACAGATTCCAAATGTACCCAGTGTTGCTGTGGAGCAGTTGTTGTCATTAACACACAAGCTACGGGAGACAAATGATGCCACAGTGAGCTTTTTTTTTTTTTTTTTAAATTTACTTTCTCCTACTGTGACTGTTTGTTTTAACAAAGGCTGGGTGAAGCATGCTAAGCTATAGTGTTATTTCAAAGCCTGCCTGATTGGAAAACCAGCCCCAGAAGTTATTGCTGGCAATTACCACACTGCATACTGTAAACTTTTTTGATTTATGATGTACGTTTTTAGAATCTGCATAAATAAGCTTTTAGGAAACTGCCTGAATCCCTGAGAAGCCAGGCAGAACAGTACATGTGTTGTTGGTGGGTTTAGATACATGGCTCACAGTGAAGCATGCTTGAGGTGCCTTTTGAATAGTTGTGCATATCATGTGTGTCCAAATATTTTCAATCACTTCGCTTTAGTCATTGGAACTTTGATAGCTGAAATTATTGGGGCTTTTTAGGCAATGGGAACTACCTAGCCATTATAAAATGCCAACAGGCAACAGCAAAGACTCAGAAAAGGGAAAGCTCCAGAACTCCTGGCTGCGTTACTGCTACAGGCTATTCTATTAAAGCAGTCTTGTCAAGAAAAGTAAGTTCTGCTGACATAGTAACCACAAAATTCTTTAAAAAGATACAGTCAAATCATGGTAAAAAGAAAAAGAAATTATTGCTATGGCAACTGAAGCACTGAATGTTTTTGATGTAGCTAAAATGTAAAACATTTTTAGTGGAATCCAGCAGTTTAACTGGTATGCAAATGTGATCTGTTCCCCTTAGTTTTCATGATTTTAACATGGGTGATAGTTTTTGCAGTATGACTATTTAGGAAGCTGAGAGAGGCTGTTATGCTCTTCTGAGCTTAAAAAAAGTAAGTAAAAATGTTGACTTTTAGGAGCACCTTTGGGACAGAGGTGGTGTTGTTATCTATTTAGTTTCTTACACCTAACGTATAAATGTATTGGTTTTGACATACTTGGAGGCATAGTATGCCTGAACAGAGCATTACAAAAATCCTTTTTAAATATGTGGATGTCTATAGCAGGGTGAAATATCTAAATGAAGTATATGATGTCGGATGAGAAGTGAGTCACAATGTGGATCGAGGGAGGATTCTTGTAGATCAACAGTGACATAAGACATGTTGGGAATAGCACACCTATGCAGAGAGCTGAAATGTTTGTCTTGGGTATGTCAGGCTGTTTATAGAATTGATTAAGTAAGTAAGCCTCTGTCGGAGAGTATCCTGAAATCTTAACCGTTGTTTAAAGTGATTTTGTTAACAATAAAAGAATACCTGTAGACTATTCAGCCTGTGGGCGTTGCTTGCGTCATTGTAATTGTTTGCTTGATTTACAATAGAATCTAGAGACCGCAGTCAAGATGTGTTGAATTAGATACCTCATAGATATATATTACAAAGACTGTCACTAACCCAATTTTGAGTTTACAGTTGTTCAATATAAAGTATAGAAAAAAAAACAGGTAAGAGACAAGAGGAAATTTTGTTCCCAAAATTTTAACTGCCAGTTGCAAATGTTCAGATGTGATACAGCTTTTCCTCTGTGGTCCTGTCCTCTATGCTTATTTATGTCAGTGCAGGATCTGATGCTATATATTATTTAGACTTTAAAATGCCCGTGCCCTTGGAGATTGGATTCATCACGGTGGCACAATGTATGAAATACAGTATCTCAGTTACTATGCCCAGCTGCCATTCTCCGTCAATGCAGTCCCATGGGTTGTGACTTAGGAGCATCGCTTACTTGCCAAAACTTTCTCTACCTGGGAACGTTTCAGCTGTTTAAGACACTTTTGGAAAGAGAATATAATCTCCAAAGACAGTGAGAGTTCTGACGAGTGAGCAGGGATAACAATGATACAGCATTCACCCCTCTCCCTTGCCCATGCTTCACACATGGGCTGAGTAGGTCTTGAGATAACACTTGAAATGCCATCATTTACATCACAGTGTCCATAATGCTGGATGATGAGCTACAGTGGTTCAGAAGATGCTTCACAGTCTTCTGTTAATGAAAGCAGGAGGAGCAGGAGTAGTAATCTTTGCAGTTAGCTCAATCTGAATCATTCTTGCTCATTGCTTAGAGCTATGCTAGAAAGTATTATCCTTTTCTTTCTCAGCATTTGAGAAGAGTTTTCTACAATTTTATAGAACTGACTGTTTTTTTTAAAATATTAATGCCTGTTTGTCAGAACCGCAGTTTTCCAGGGGAAAGAATTGGTATTAAGACATTTCTCATGCTTAAAAATTAGTAAGGGGGGGAAAAGGCTCTGAAATTCATGAAGTGTTGCTTTTCTCTATTTTTTTTTTTTCCCTGGATGGCAAATTTCTGGATTTTTTTCCAATTGAAACAGCATAATACATTAAGATAATTGTAATGCAGTTAGAAGTCATTATGTGAACCGAAAGCAAAACATTTTGAAATTACCTAATTAAAATATTTCACTTGACCCAAGCAGAGCATGGTGTGACTTATCAGATCGCGCTCATTGTTGTGTGTTTCCTGCTAAAATAAGGAACCTATTTGTATTAGATACCTTCATCCGGTAGATGTAATTATAGAATGATTTCTTCCTCAGTCTTTATATCTCTCTTTAAATACATGGTCACTTCTTTTGGGTTTTTGTTTGGTTGGTTTTTAAATTTTGCTGTATTTGTTTGAGATCTGCCTTCCCAGGCATTGAAGCATTTTTGTGACTCTTTGCTGAATCATGTCCAGTTTTTAGCATTTATTTTAACATGTGGACAACAGAAAAGGACACAGTGTTCCAGTAACGGCCCGCCCAGAAAGCGTGTGCAGAGGTGATACAATCTCCTTACTGCTGCCCAGTGTTGTCATGTTTGTACGGCCAAGAATCCTGCCAGACCCTTTTGCCAGAGCATTACATGTGGAGCTCATATACAGTTTGTGAAGAGCAGACGAGTTTTTAGGATGTTGATCCCTTTACAGTGGCTAACCTCCTTGTTTTTGTTGATGTTGTTTAGTGTTAGGTTTTATATAGTGAATAAAATTCAGTTATTGGCACATTTTTCTTCCTGCTCTTATCAAGTGAAATCGTAAGGCTAATCTTTTGATGACATCATGATTTCCATGGCAGTGAATTACTGCAACAAATATAGAATTACCAGCTTGCAGATTAAAAAGTACAAGCTGCTGTAAGAGGCAGAAAGCACCTATGAATTAGGAGAAAAGTTGAAATAATTCCTTTTGGGTTACTTTTTTCTCCCAACTTGTTCAGTTTAAATCTCTGAGACCCAGTCCCAGAGATCAAATTATTAAACTACCTTGTATTTTTTGACAGGCACAGTCACTGGCTTCATCTTTATCTACTCGACAGCTATTGCGAATTTGTCGTCGACTGTCACAACATCCAGATGAAAGCCTTTACTATGCTGTTAATAAAGCCTGCCTTTCCAGGTAGAAGTGCTAGTTTTGGTGGAAGTTCAAGAGCTTGGTCAGTTGTTAACATACAAGATAGCTTTTAATGCATTTTAGTAGATAATATGATTGCTGTCTTGCTCCTTAAAGCCTGTCATTTCTTTAGAAGTATTTCTGTGGCATTCTCAAACCTAGGAGGTAAGTAGCAGTGGCTTTGTACTCTTTTTCTCATTTTTATGAACATATTTCATTACATTATATCAATTAGGTCAGCATTACTTCACCATCTCAAAACAGAGTTGTATTAATGTCTCGTATGGCTAGATGTTAGGTGGAGGCTTGGTTTCAGTTCTAAAAGCTGTATCTAGAAAAGTTATGAACAGATAGGTTGGTTGGTGGTTGGTTGGGGTTTTTTTCAAAAGAAAGCAAATTGCAATTATCAAAAGGTTTGGAAGACTGAAAGGGCCTAGATCTGGACATCTCAGAGCTCACTCTTTCTCTTCAAAACCCAGGGTCCAAGTGAACTGTGTCAAGAGAAAAGGTATTTCCGAAAAAACATTGTTTCTATTGTAGCTCTTGCTGGCAGTGGAATGAGGACATTACATACTTCCAGTCCTAATCCATCCTACAATACAGCCCTATTGTGATATTCGGTAACACTGGAGACTTTCAAAATGAGCACGCAGTCACAAATGTAGCTTGCTGCGTAGGGAAGATGCTCAATTTCTCTCCTTAGGGATAGGTGAACTGTGTAAGACTATTTGAGTGTGAAAGGAGTAGACGTTCAGGGTTTGGAGGTCTCAGTAAAGCTCCATACTGATTTTACAGAAAATACTGAAAAAGTTTTTTTTAAAGTGCCTTAAAATAAAACCTCCCTATTATTTTTCTTCATTTAGGTTTTTACCAAACCTTGCTAGATCAGCTTTACATAAAAATCTGCAGGATTCTGGTATTGAGACAAGTCCAGATGACATGAAGAAACTAGAGGAAAAGGATTACACATGTAAGCTTCTGCCATCTTTTGTCCTGCACTTCACGAATCTTACTCAGACAGTTGAGCTTATAAAGGTGTATTAATTATCCTCAAAATTAAATGTAGTTTACTCCAGTAATGTGGCTTGGACTTTGTTCTATCAGAATGCAGTACTGCTCTCCGTATGTTGATACTTTTGTATTGTCTGCTGTATTCCCAGCTCATGGAATTTTGTTCTCCATCATGTTTAAATGTTTCCCAGTCTGTAAGATCCATGGCATCAGGCTTTCTTGAACTGCCTTTTTTTTTTTTTTTTTCCTTTTCTCATCACTGATAACTGTTCTTCTGTACAGTTACAGCGTTGATTTGATCTTAATATATCTCTGTTCTGTTTTTTACCGTCACTTCTTTCTCTCCACTGCTAAAACCAACATTTTACTCATTGAGAGTAAAGTTTAGGGTTTTGTTTTACTTTCATTCTGGCACATACTTCTTTGTTAGTTTCCCTTCTTTTTGTCCTCTTTAAATTTCTGTGGTTGTTACGTGCCGCCTTTATCGAGCTGGTCTTTGTTTCTTTAACTTGTCCAGCTTGTAGTCGTTTGCAGTAGCCTTCAGTGCTATGCATATGTTTCTGCTTCTGCCATTTCTGTCACTTCTGCTTTCTCATTTCTGCATGACCCCTGGTCTTCATGCTAGCTGTGTATCTTTTCATATCTTCTGTCAAGCAGCACACTTCAAGCAATTTGCTGTTTTCCCTTCACTAAACTTTTCCTTTACTCTACTTCACCAGCGTTATCTCTGCTGTCATTCTTCTGCATGTTTCTCAGTTTTGTGATGTACTTGACTTCTGTGTTTTTACTGTTAGATCTTTGCAGTAGTAAACACGTCTTTGGTTTTAATTAATATGGATTCTGGTTTTATATTTCTTATTTATGTGTCTGTGTATATAAAAACATATGTACAAATACAGGTATATTAATATATCTATAATATACCATATAATATATATATGCAGCCACATGTATGCATATATACGTATATATACACATATACATATGCAGCCATCCATGTATTACTATATCTGTATTTGCATTTTTATATATATAAAAACTGTGTATAAAAAATAATTTTAACTCTTGCCAGTTGTGTGATGCTAACTGCTTACCATTTATTTTTTTTATCTGGGCACATCTCTTAATTTTCTTTATGTTTTTCTGTTTCATGCCATAAAGATAGAACCATATAGAATTATAAGTGGACAACTAAAACCATCTCTCTAGAAATTAGGCTATTTTCAGTTTTACACCAGATTAAGAAATTAGTGGCAAAAATGGTTACTGTTTTTATTGCACAATATTATTGTTTACACTTAGTTGATATTTTCCTAAGGACAGATTTTTATGGTTCTTTTGATCTAGGAAATTTTTCTAATATACTTTTTCTTTCAGAGCTATAGTTGAAGGTTATTTCAATGAGTGAAAATTTAGCTGTTTTTCACGAAAACGTTAAATGCATCCACGTTCAGGCATTAACCCATTTGAGCAAAAATGCAGTGCTGAAAGGGAGAAGCAACAGTGACTCTATACTGTTGTGGTGGGTTGGCCTCGGCTCTCAGCCAAGCACCCACACAGCTGCTCGCTCACTCCCCTCCGCACCCCACTCCCCAGTGGGACAGGGAGAATGAGAGCTTGAAAGCGTGTAGATTGAGGCAATGTAGCCTAACGATTAATATTAGTGATATTCCAATAATAAAATGAGAGGATGAAATTAAACCAAGGCAGCGGTCACTTGTAGTGTTCCTTATGGTACTTTTCCCATAAGATCACCTATTCATCATTTATTGTAATAGACTTCTTTGCAATTCTAAAGAGAATTCAAATTCATGGTAATGCAGCCTCTTGTTAACGGATGCTCTTTCAAGCATTCTGTCTCTTTAGACAGAAATCACTTCCTGCAACCCACAGCCTTGTTAAAATTTGTAAATCGGCACTTGCCAGTGTTGGGGATTGATTGCATATCTGCTCAGAAGATGCTGTAACTAATGCATTTGCTTGTTTCCTGAAAAATGTCTAGGTGAAATAAATGATGGCATTCTGAAGATAGGGTCTGTGACGATGCCAGTTTATAACTCAGCCGAGAAAATGAAAGTGCCTGATGTTTTGTTTTACGAAAATGCACAAGTAAGTATGGTATCTCTGGCTTCTGAGGTACGAAAAGGTTGTTACATGTATGCTAATGTGCGTGCTCATATGTGGTAAATAATGTACTGAGTAAATTTTAAGGGTATATTTCTGAAGTAGTTTCTTTAGGCTAAAATTTTTCTCGCAGGATTTGAGGCTCATTTCAAATGTGTCTTCCCCATCCCTTTGTGAAGGGATTGTAACAATCTGGTTGAACATTCATAAAATATGAAGTAACAGCAACTGAAGCTGAATTTTATTTAGAGTGATTTGATCAGATGTTGTGTTAAGTCTAAGCGATCTTTGAGGTTTTTTGCTGCTGCTGGGCTGATCCATTCAGGGCTGGATTATCCATTCCATCCTGAGACCACGTTTTACAGGCTTGTTACATGAAAGTTGTACCTGCCTTTTATTAGAATTAACACTGCATGTTTGAAAAGCAAGGGGCAGAGAGATTAGTTAATTAGCTATTAGTTAATACATTATTTATTTTAATTAGTTTAACTTATTAATTAGCTCGTAGTAGTGAAGAGTAGTTGGTGAACACAAGAAAAGGGAAGGGCTTGGTGACTGTGGGTTTCTTCTAGTTTTGTTTTCCTCCACCCCTTTTCTAGAGGTATGTGTACTGCAGCTTTCTTCTCCACCTAGCGCAGAAGCCTCAAAACTGCCAGACAAGGTTATCCTTAGTGAGAGAATTACCCTCTGAGTTACCTTGCCACTGGAAAGCAACACTGATAGTGTGATCTTGTGAAATATTTTTCTTTTAGGGGCCTGGTGTGGGTTTGCTTACTTTTCCTTTCCTATTCTTCTTTCCTCCCTCGCTTGCACTTTCTCCGCAGAAAGACTGTGCTACATGGGTATCACCTGCTGAAGGTGATGACAGGCCGTGCAAGGGGAACAGATGACAGTCTTCTTCATCTTCCCCACTAACATTTCATGTGAGATTTTGTTCTGTTTTGCCATTTTGGTGAAGTACTTAATTTGGGTCTGTTGGGAATGAAATTCTGAGTCTTGCTAGGGCTCATATCTGCCTTGCCTTTTCCACCTTCCTGCTTACAGCTTCAGAAAACTGTACACAAACTGTGTTCAGATGTTACACATCTGTTTTATTTAGGCAGCGTCTGTTAAACATGCTGCAGAGAACGAATGCCCTGTATCTGTCCCTGGTAGCTATGCACTCTGAATGCTGAAGGAAACAACAACCAGATACCAGTCAGGATAGCTGTTTTCGTGTCTAAATGAATTCTACTCTTATTTTCTGTATTGCTAGTTTGTGGTTTGGTCATTCAAGTGCCGGAATGACCATTTAGCAAAACTTGCTGGAGAACAAATTTGATTTATGAGTCTAGTGCAATACTTTCCGTTATCAAAAAAAAAAAACCCCAGAAATAAACCAAACCAGAAAAAGTAGATCCTCAGCCCTTTGCAGTGCTGCACAGTGTAATGAAATACATAGCTTTTGCCTCTGAGTGTTTGGTCTTGAAACTTTTCATGTTCCAGTGGAATTTGACATTGCCGTGGAACATTGCTGTTCATCCACAGCAAGTGGCACAGGGATGGAAATAATTTTTAGGTGATATACCAAATGCCACTTTCAGGCCAGGCTCTGGGGAACATGCACTGATAAAGTTGATGCGATGTTGATGTGTCTCCTTACACATCCTTTGTGTAAATAATTATTCTGAAATGTCTGCATGTGTCCTAATACAATGTTAATTTAGGTAGTGGTGCAAAAAAAAAGTATGAATACATAGTGTCTCTTGTGGGAAGGCTGTTCTGCAGGGGAACTATAATGTACACATATTTGGGCAATTTAGGATTAAACAAAAAAGGCATCAGAAGGAAGTATTCATGCCTCACCAATAAAATAAAAAATGTAATCAGTGTATGTGGTAAAACTGACTTCCTAGAATTTATGCTCTGTCCGGTCAAAGTTATTCTCATCAGTTATAAATTTCCAGTTTATATTTCCAGCATGCCAGAAAATATAGTAATTTGCCTTGAAGTTCTCTCCTTAAATTGTGTATTCAGTATTCAGTAGTCTTCTGACATGCCTGGTTAGGATTTTGTGGTATTAAGCTGTGTTTACAAGAGTTTCTTCCCCCACCCCCAGCCTCTGTGCTGGAGAGATCTGGAAACCTAAAACATCTTTCACACAGTTAGAAACTGAGCATTTCTATGCTCAGAAATTACAGGCAAGGTACTGATTTTTTTTTTTTTTTTTTAATCAAGTACTAGAGATGAGATGGTAATGTGAAAAAAAAATATATGTTTATCTGAAGGCAAGCACTCATTTCTCTAAGTAGGTTGTCTGACCTACTTACAGATGACCTATTTTTACTAGGTACAGTGGAGAAATATACAGGACTTTATTGCGAGTTAAGTAGTCTGCATTGCCACATTATCCTTAAATCCTTTCAATCCTTTTAAACAAATTATTTGTGAGGAGCAAGATAAAGTTAAATGATGTACAGTGTGTGTTACCTTTTATGATACTGGATATATGTAAAATACATCTCAAGCACTTTGGCTTCAATTTGGCAGTCTAATTTAGGAGTTGTAAGACACATAATAAATACTTTTTAGACTTGAGCTTGCATTTTCGTCTTTGTTTTCCTTGAAAAAGAAGTTTGATTAGAATAGAAAAGTGTAGTTGTCATGAAGCTAGACCTGGTGTTTAATCTTTAATAAAATAAATGTGTGTAATTTACATGTTCATGTCAGCTGCCTTTTATTCCCACTGTTTGGTTTCTGTAAAGTTCTACCAGGACACATTTTGCTTCCTCCCAGTACAATTGCTGGAAAATTGTCATACAGATATTAACAAAAGTTCTTAGATGCTGGGTGACAGACATTCAACTAGGCTAAAAGGAAATGCATTAGGAGTGATTATGGAGAATTAAATATATTTAGGGAAATCAGATACCCACAATCAGTCGGAGCAGAGGAAATACTTAAGGAGTGTTAGTATTTTTGTTTCATTGTTTTAGTCACTGGATAGTCTGCCTCTGCAATTACTGGCTAAGAGACTCTTGCTATGAAATAAATAGCTGTAAGTATAAAGTTCAAAAAATTTTGACCCCAAATCCTGAAAGTGAATTTCCTGTTGTACTACTGTCATTAGTGAATGCATTAACTCAAGAGTATAAAAATGAGTGAAAGCTGTATTTTTGTTTCTCTAGCACATGATGGTAATGGAAGATATGCTCAAGGACTTTCTGCTGGGAGAACATCTTCTTTTAGTTGGCAATCAGGTGAGTCAAACATCATTACAATGCATGGAACAAACTCATTATGTAATAATGAAATTAAATCTCTGTTTTGCTTCATTGGAATTGCATTGATTTGTACTACTGAGATATTTGACCCGTTTTTTGATTCTTTATCTATTAATGTACATGGGGTTTATGGGCACGTATCTGTGGAAAATGTAAGTGCCTGAAATGGTTTTTTACATTGCTATCAGAGGTAAAATTCAGAACATTCATAGTCAAAACCTTATTTATTGATAGCAGAATACTAGCTTTCTCTAAGAGATACAGATTCTCTTTATTCTTTGGCTAGTATCTTTGTTGATGGAGACTTTATTGGTGAGATCATGGGGGCTGTTGTGTTCTTTTAGTTGGTCATTGCTGTTTCATGACACCTCCTAACAGTTTATAGGTTCCTCAGGATGAGGTATGGGCAGATGTTCTCCAATTGTGTATGTTCAAAAGTTCTTCAGAGCCGTCTTAAACTATTACTGGAACTGTTAGGTGACTTGAACAGAATTATACACTTTGACAATTAGCTCTGAAAAAAAAAAAAAAAAAAAAAAAAAGAGAGCTTTTGAGAGCTTTTCATATTATTTCTGTTTGTTTGAAGTGTTCAGGAAAGTGATATTTCCCAATCTACCAGGTTGTTTTTTCTCTTATAAAGTAATCTCCCTTTAGTTTAGCTTTCCCTGAGCAAGGACACAGTAATTTTCTAGCAGATGTTTCTCTTTATGTTTTGCAATAGCCTCTGGAAAAAAGGTCTAACACAAAACACTAGTGGTCTAACCTACATGGCAAGGAATATAAAAAGTTGTTATTAATGTGCATATATTAAAATTACAGTTTACAGTTATATACAGTCTCATCTATTTAGTCCTTGTTAACAGCTTGAATTTATGAAGATGATGTACTTGAAACCTCTGTAGACTTTTGCTGGATGATGCCAGCTTCTCCCAAAAGGTTTCATCTGTTCATAAATAGAAATTAATCTATTTCATAAATGAAATAAGATCTATTTGTTCCATTTCATAAATGGTGTTCTCTATGCCAGCTTTCAAGTTGGTGTTGAAAATGTTATAGAGTACAGATTGCCTGCAGGACTTGCTGTCGGGGAATGGCAAGAGTAGGCTGCTCCACAGGGGAATGGAGGCAAGGACAGCGTCCTTCATGACCAGGTTCTCAGTCCTACAGCGTCCAAGCAAGAAGAGGAGGTCTGGGGACAGCAGCCATGGACAGCCAAGTGCCCAGTGGCTGCCAGACAGGTCCATGGTGATGAGGCAGGTCTGAAGTCAAGCTGGGAAGTCAAGTCGGCAGGTCCGGGCTGGGATGAGCAAGGTACAGGGCCAGGCACAGCATTGCTGTGGTGTAGGTAGGGAAGGAACCAAGGAAAGAGGCTGAGTTTAAATTCAGCTCCAAAGCCATGGGCGGGCAAAGGGGACCCCAGTGAGGCAGCAGCACCGTGTCAGAGCTAACCTTCGACACAGGCAAGTAAAACCTTGGGTGAGGGGGGGGAAAAGCTTGCAGAGCCTGATGGTACACTCAAGGCCCTGACACATGCCTCGTATGTTCTACCAATTTGGCAAAAAAAAATTTTTGAAGACTATGCGAGTATGATCTTTAGTGTATAAGGTATTTTCCCAGCAGTGGTATACTCATCTTTAATAATTTAATGTGTGCCACATTTTCTCCAAGCTTATGAAACTCTAATTGAAGACAGTGTTAAAAGATTTAACTGGGTTGAAGTACTGGAACATACTGCATGCTAGACATCAGCTCAGCTGTACCATTAAGTTGGAAAATCAATTGATTTGCTGTGATTTCTCTTTGGCAAACCAGTAATACTTAAAATTTTCGGTTTTTAATTGCTAACATACTTCTGAGTACTTCCAGGTTTACTCTTTACTAATTTGTTCCACTGTTTTTATATGTGACTAAGAAAAAGCCAACTGGCCTTTTCTTTTGAAATACTGTTTTTAAGTTTAAGCACTGTATTTGCCATTCTGTGTCTTTTAGGAGCGTGCTAATCATCCTTGATTTCTCAGGGATGATCACTAACCATTTAGAAATTGCATGGCTAATTCCTTAAATATATTACTGTAAATTTCTGCAGCATGTGGTGAATCCTGTTCAAGTACTTTACAAGCAACCATATTATGTCAATGTTTTTCATGCTATATGTGCAGATACCTTCCCATTGAAGATATTAGAGTTTCCATCTTCTTTTTGTAAAGCAAATGATTAAAAAATAGGGGGGGGGGGGGGAAGTTACTTTAACAGTTCACTCTGTAATAAGAAGGTAGGGTTTTACGATTGCTTGATACATACATCAGTGTCTACCTGTGTTTCGTGTTTGGAAGAAATAAGTAGTGTTTTTGCGTGGAGATACGAAGTGCTGTATTGAGTTCCTTTCTGTTGTACTTCTTGTTAGTGAATGAGCGAATCATGGAAATTCAGTGTAAATTACTGACCACTCAAATACTCTGAACCTGAGTATTTCAAAATATTAGACTAACATCCCTTTGAATGCTTGTGTCACTTTCTACATATTTAAATGAGTTGGCATATACCTTGGAATGTAATTTTGTCCATCAAAATGATGACTATATAAATTAGTATCTCCATTCAACTGTGATTCAGTGTGCAAGGCTTGACGTGTAGTCCTCCTTTTAGAGACTGGATTTGGTTTTGCTTGGTTGAATGTGGTTTTCCTCTTTTGCCTCTTCATTTTCATAACGCATGTACACACACAAAATTCCTGTTAGCTTAAGGTTCTCTCTTTATGTCAAAGTCTGTAAACATAGTCTCTTTTGTGTTTTCTTTTTAGTTAAGAGCTGCCTGGTGAATGTCCTTTTACCAAGATTGTTTTCAAGATACGAACTTTGACAATTAATATTTGAAATTCAGTAAATTGGGATTAAATTACTTTGCTGGATGTTAGAGATTGACTTTCTTAATTAAACTGAGGAGAGTTTGAAGACAATTGTTAGATACTGACAGATATCTTTAGGAGTGTTCAGCTTCTGAAGTAAAGTACTTTATAACCCACCTCGTTCACATGTTTTCCCCGGAATTTAGATGGCCCAGAATTTCACAGCATAAATATATTACAAGAAATAGAGCTTCATCTAAATACTTCTTTACATTGATTGTTGATTTATTTTGGATGCTAATTGGAATGTGCTTCCATTTCATACGTAAGCAAACAGATTTCTTTGGGTCCTTGGGAAAGGCAGTGGATAGATAAAGAATTTTCGGCTATGAAATAGATTACAATTGGAGGAACTGCCAGTACTTTAAATATGGCTTCTGATATTGCTTCCCGAATGAGCCTGTAGTCTGAGTGTGAATGAGACTATCTATAACCACCTATAGTTTCTCAAAGCAGCTATAAAGCAGCTTTTTCCTTGGCTGAGGGTAAGCAGCTATTTGTTACTCTGAAAGCAACAGGCAAACAGCAAGAGTCCTGTTTAGTAAAGGTTACTTATTCCAAACTTTGCAGTGATTGTTTCTTTAGTCATTACATATAGCTCCTACAGCTGCTCCCGAGCTTCATGAGACAGACTGGACTATTTATTCTTACTACCAAGGAAAATTTTTAGACTGTGTTTTTGTGAAATTTTTCCATGGACATTGTGCAGTTCATGGATTGGCCGCTACTTGGTATCTTTTACTGTCTCCTTGAATTTCCTGTCTTCGGCAAACAGGAGAGAAACTATGTTAATAAACAGAATTTGTTTATGTGGAAAAACTTGAGAAGTAGCAGTGACTGAAACACTTTTATTTTGTCTCGCAATTATAAATTTTACATATGACATTTCCAAAATTGTTGCATTTGGAAGTTGTGTAAAGAGAGGTGTTGGATGTTTTCACCTTTATAGGTGAAGTCCTAGCAAATATCAGCTGTCTTTGAAGATACCAAAGAAAATATTGATAGTTACAAGGGATTCATGCCTTTCTGGAGAGAGAAGGCTCACAACCTTGTCACTTCTGAATTATTTTATACCCCTGAAGTTTTAAAATACCTGACCACATGTTAAACAAAATTGAAATATTTTATTTGGCCTTATTCTGTTGCCATGATTTATAGTATAAGCTGTTCAGATAGCTGGTCATGTGAATTAAAGAGGTTTTGTCATAGCAATGAATCCTGAACATTTCTGGTTTAATGGCACAGTTAGCATACAGGAAGTATTTAATAACAAGTTGTGTTCATTTTGGCTTTTAGTGTTACTCTATTTTAATTCACTGTGTAAATATAGCATAACTATAAATATTATGAATTTGACTATAATACGTACATATCTTTAAAATGGACTTCTACCATGATCTACTGTGAGTTATCTAAAAGTGCACAGTTGCAGTTCTATGTAGCAGGACAGATGCAGCTTGTACCAGGTCCAGGATCCCTGGCTGTGTCTTCATTAATGCTTCACTAGCCCTTATCCATTCCATAATGTGTCGGTTAAGTAATACATATGTTTTACTTTGATTCACATTTCAATGCGTACAGCCGGTATTCTTAGGTGCATTTTAGTCAGGATGTGCCCCTCTGCCTGCCTGTATCCTGTCAGCTTTGGCACACAATGCTTGGCCTTCTACACTTACATTGTCTGTTATAGTCTCTGTGCCATTTTCAAAGTGTAGAGCATAGCAAAGAACAGTGGCTGAGTGATCGTTACTGTCCGTGTCGTATAAACGTTGCCAAAATTATAAGGAACATTCTCTTTGTCAACCTTCCTGAAGAGTGGATAGGGGAAATGCAGTGTGCATTGGAACAGCCTCAGCTCAGTGGCCCATCAGGACCATTCGCTATTTGGCATCTTTTACTTATTCTTCTCTTTCCAGAATTCCCAGTTTCTCTTTTGTCTTGTGGTTTTCTTCACTGGCAACCTTTATGGCTATTTCTAAGTATTTGGTACTGGCTGCTCTACCCTTGAAAACAAAATGCTTGTATTATCAGTATCCATCCTGCTTTTGTGGTAATGTACTTAATAAGGAAGAGCTACATTTAAAAAAAAAAAAAAAAAAAAAGACAACAAATAGTCAAATAATATATTTCTTCTCTTCAACAATTATTATTAAGGCTTAATGGATACTGCTGGAGTTCCACATCTTGTCCGGGCTTTCCTATTGCTTATGTTCATTTTTCAACAAGAAACACAAAGTTGATAATAAGAATAATCAGAAATGCCATTCAGTTACTGATTAAATTATTGTTGAATACAGAAAGTATTTAAATTTTGTCCTCCTTCATTTGATGGTTTGGAAATTTGGATTGTACTTCTTATTCAAAATTGCTCCCCCTCTACTTCGCTGTGTACAAGGAAAGCACTTTGCAAAGTGATAAAACAAGCCTGTTCCTGAATAGCTTGCAGTCTAATTAGATGATGTATAGACAAGGGAAAATCAGAAAGAAATGTCAAGTAGAATAAGAATGAAGAATTCTATAATAGTGCTAAAAATTGTTGTAAATAATTTGAAAAAAGCCCATGACAAAATCTCTGGCAGCACTTAGTAAAAAAGTTGATGTGAGCCCACAGTAAATAGACTATCACAAATACATTGAAAGAACTTAGAAACGTAACGGCCTTTTGGCACATTTGGTAATTTATTTCCCTGATGGAAGAATGTAATTTCATCCTTTCTGCTGCCATTCTTTAACTGAGAGAGCAACTTAAATTAAATCGTGGGCTCCCACTAGGAATTTATTATATTCTTGAAGAATTTAGTAGGACAAATGATTGAGTCTTTCTTAAAGGTTTTTAAGAGGACATACTTGAATAGTTCTTTCCTTCTAAGATAATATTATTCTTCTTATCTCTTTGAAAAATTGAATTAAGTAGATACTGAGAGTGTAATAATATCAGTCACCAGAAAACTTGAAATAGCAAATACTTGACGTCTTAACTGCTCTTAAATTTGTGTAAAAATGGACAGCTTCCACTGCAAAACAAGAATGTATTATACTGAACCATTTTTTTAATTATTATTAACATTACTATTGTTGTTGTGGTTGTTATTATGAAGAAGAAGAAACTGAGCTCCAAATGAGTGAAATTGGGCCAAATACTATGATATATTTGCCTAAGGAATTCTATGTGACAATTGAGGAAAACTCAGAAAATATTTCTTTTGCTTGCTACAGTCGTACTACTACGTGTATATATGAGAATAGGTGTGTTCTTTAAATGTGTCTCTGCTTAGAGTGTTGCTTTCTGCCTTTACAAGTTATGCTGAAGAATAAGAACTAAAAAAAGAATCAGTGACTTGATTTTTCTTTTGGATGTTTCTTCCTGCAGATTCTTTCTGTTATAAATTTTTCATATGCACCTCTC